ATTAGATTGAGTACAATCTCCCAGCGTGTGATGCTATTTATATTCATGCAGATCCTTGGCTAGCCATGCACAAGTTTGGAAAATGTCTCAAAACCGCTTAATACACATCTAATTTGGAAAAAGTAATCTATTAGAAATATAAAATTAATAATTACCAAAAAATCCAGGAATATGAAAAGTCAATAACTTATACGCATCAAACTGCAAGACGTAAGTCCTTATGAACTTTCTGAAAACTTCTTCTCTACCATGTTTTCCCTCTCTGATCTCTATCATGCAGGTGAATAGAATGGAGCTGCAAAGAAAAGACAATCATATAAACTTTTAGAAAAAATTAGGTCACTTTACTTTCCAGTAGTTGCATTCTCCTGCCCCCAACATCCACCCCAACTCCATAGGCTATTACAAAATTAATAAGGGGGCTGCCTCAAGTGGCAGCCAAACATCCACTCCAAATCTTTTCTATTCACCTCTCCCCAAGTCAGTCTACAGGTGTGACATTGAGAGCACAGGCTATGGGTTCACACCATTTCAAAGAATTAGCTGTCTACAATACTCCACCACCCTCTTCTTCCATTCAAGAAAGTATATCATGAAGTAAAAAGCACAAGTGATAACATAAGGGTAACTGTGCATCCATGCACTCCAGTGATTCCTAATGCCAATATTGCAACTCTTAGTGGTCCCAAATGTATTTCTATTCATGCAAATCTATGTGGCTGAGAAGTAGCACCTTGGAGAGAGCCTGCAGAATAGGATCTGGGGTGGAATATCCATCCAGGAACCCACACAAGAAATTTGGTCACAGCCCCCTACCCATTGCCTCCAAGGTTCCAAATAGTCCTGCACTTCCTATAACACAGGAAGGGTGCTCAACATCCTCCCTTAGATCTGGAGTTGGGTTCAGTTCCCCTGGACAGAATCACTAGAACTTCAAAATATACTCCAAAAGAATTGATGAGTGGTTGCCCTCTTCAACACTGCACATAAGGGTGAAAGGTTTGTATTAGTGAGCATTAAATACACAGAACCATGAATTTCATATACAACAGAACTTGAGCTTCCTGACCTCCACCCTATGATAGACCTGCTTCCCATTTGTATTCAAATAGTATAGCTCAAATTGTTTTAGATCACCTGAATTTAGGTTAGTGAACTTCTAATTATCCAAATACGCACTGGTAGAACTACATTTGTAGATGCAGTCTCTGGTTGCTATGCATAAGAAAGCACAGTCAAATGTCCCTCATCTCCTTTACATTCTTTTCGTCCATATAGAAAAATTTTCCATGATTTTTTCCTCTAAAGGGAAATTATAGTCAGTTATGGTAAATGGTAGAATCTCTAAACAGCACAAAAAACCACTTCTGAGAAAATGAAATAAATTCCTAATTAAGAATAAAAATCCCAATTAAACTAAATCACATTCTTTTTTTTTTTTTAAGATTTTATTTATTTATTTGACAGAGAGAAAGATAGCGAGAGCAGGAACACAAGCAGGGCAAGTGGGAGAGGGAGAAGCAGGCTTCCCGCTGAGCAGGTAGCCCGATGCAGGGCTTGATCCCAGGACCCTGGGATCACGACCCGAGCCGAAGGCAGATGTTTAACAACTGAGCCACCCAGGTGCCCCACTAAATCACATTCTCAATCATTCTATCAGAACTAGTCTTTTTATCTAACATAATATGATCTTCCCATGAAACTAAGATTATATTCACAGCTCAGTGTTTCTATAAGGAGTTAGTGAACATAAAGTTAAGTCCTAGACATTGGCATGAACTAGACCTAAGCCTTAAAGCCCAGCTCTCTCATTAACTAGCTGTGTAAACTTGGGCAAGCTGCTTATTCTCTCTACATTTATTTTTCATCTGTAAAACAAGAAAAAGTCTAGCACCTACCCCAGGTGCCTGATGCAAACAGTAAATAAGATAATGTACACAAACCTCCAAGGACCATGCCTGGCAAATTGTAAGCCCCCAACAGATGTCTATTGGTAGCAGAAGCAGTAATAATAGAAACAGCAGCAACAGCAGGAGTCTGGATTGTTCCCCAAGCTTTATTTCATCGAGCTCCACTTTTTGACAAACACAAAAACCCCACTGGTAGAAATTTCTAGTGTTCCTTCATATCTTACTCTCCTTCCTGGAAAGAAGAGAGGACTATACTATACATCCCAACCCCTTGCAATTGTGTCACTTCCAGCCTAAGGAATTGAGGAGCCAATGTGCCATCTCCACACACCCCCTTTCTCTGGTGTAACAACTCTTGAAGCCATGTGTCAAGATGTAGAAAGCCTGAATGCTGAGTCACTGACTAGAGGGGGACTGCCCTACAGAGTCACCTGACCTACTTCATACTTCCGGTGAATAAGAAGGAATCTTGATGTGTTAAGCCACTGAGATTTGATTGCTGCAGCAGGATCTACCCTATCCTGATCAACAGGTACTCACAGACCCCTAAAACAGATCCTGACATAATTCCCACAGGAGAAGGAGAGGTGCTTCAATTTTTAAAAAATAACTTGCTTTTTGTCAATCTTTATATTCTTTACTTTGTAATACTACCTCATACTGCAAGTAAATTGACTTTTCAAACTCTCTGTGCTTCTTCCTCCTTTTACATTTTTAACCTAAAGAAGAAAATAATTACATTTTACTTATATTTAATAGATTAATACTGGAGCTTTTACTGGATCACATGTCACATGCTTATAGGGTACCCATAGTACCCAAGGTAGCCTGTGATCATAGTATTTTCCAGAGCTAGGAAGGGGTACTAGAAGCACCCTCAAGTATTCGCTTATTTCGGGCTTACAGCAACATGGGACGGTTAAGTAGAATTATGGATATTTCCCAGTTTAAACTAAACTAACCCTTACAAAATAAACAAGGGGTTAAAAATGTTTTTACAACAGCAAGAAGGTTTTGTGTGTCCTTAAAGTGTACCTCAATATATTACTTAATTTTGTCAACCACTTCCATATTTAATTCTGTGTGAATGTCAGAAAAGACACACAATACATTGGCATAATAGCACATCATGTAATTTATAAGTAAATATACACATATAAGTGAGTCTGTGCTCAAAAAAAATTTAATGATAGCAACATAAGATAAAAGCAATTTTGGAGCTGACAGTTTAAAGAATGGCTTTCAAACTTTTTTGTTGCTACTTGCATCATCCCTAAATGGCTGTAAACACTTTCCAAAACAATTAAAGAAGAAAACTGGTACAGAACTAGGGAAATACACATAGCAGTAACAGGTTCACAAGGACATCATGAACCAGTAACGTCAGGGGGAAAAAGCAGAAATGATAGTAAAGAGCATTAATTTGATTTAGGATTGAAGAACACAACTGTCTGTTCCAACTAAAAATCACATTTCCACATCTGAAAACCAGCAAAGGCTCTGTCAGATTGTCAAAAGGATAAGGTGATTGCTTTCTACACATAGAAGCAGAACGAAGAGGAGATCTCATAGAGATCAAAAATGCTTCTAAAGATACTTGGACTCCAAGGGGTGGTATCCAGGGAAACAGATAGGAGGGCCAGCAGATAAACCCAAGAAAGACAGAGAGCTTCGTGAGGCCAACATCAAGACCAATTATCAAAGAATCACTAGTTCAGCCAAGTTGGAGTTATCTCAAATTTCTACAGAAAGTTAAACGATACCTTGAAATTTTTCCGCCAAATGGCACAGCACTCTCTACTCCCCATCTCATCGCACTTATCTCACTACTCATAAGAGGTGAAGCTGGGATTTAAACCCAGGCATGTCGGACTCCAAAGCCCTTATGAAAACAACAGCAGATAAATGAGCTCCACAGAATAGGCAGGATTTGGAAATGGAGACTGGCCAACCCTGAAAGGGAAGAGGCAGGGAGAGGGGTTGCTGAGAAGGCCACTAGGGAAAGGGAACATAAAGAGCAAAGGACTGAAGGGGGAAAACCCTGAGTATGTGCAGAAGTTACTAAGTGGGAGTGCACGTAGCATAGGAGATGTGCATGGAGGTGGTATGAGATAAGGCTGGAAAAGGTTGGCTCGGGCCTTCCAAATGAAGGTGCCATCAGCTCAGCCAAAGAGGCAGAATTCACTCTGAAGGCAATAAGTAATTATTGAGGGCTTTATTTTTTTTTTTTAAGATTTTATTTGACAGAGAGAGAGATAGCGAGAGCAGGAACACAAGCAGGGGGAGGGAGAAGCAGGCTTCCCGTGGAGTGGGGAGCCCAACGTGGGGCTCGAACCCAGGACCCTGGGATCATGACCAGAGCCGAAGGCAGACGCTTAACGACTGAGCCACCCAGGCGCCCCTATTGAAGGCTTTAAAGCAGAGAAATGGTATAACTGCAAGTAGACACTGGGAAAACTGATCTTGCTGTAACATGGAAGATAGATGAGAAAAGAGTAAGAAGGTGCCCTGCACATAGTACATGCTTATTTAATATGAATGGATAAAGGAAAGACCAGGTTACAACTTTTTGTGTTTCTCCAACATGATATCAAACCCATTCCACCCAGTGTTATTTAATATTTGGTTTGCTGTTTAGAGAATAAACTCCACTCATTCTAGAAAGAATAGTTGCTGTGACTTCAAGAATAATTCAATCCACCGGTCAAATGTGGCTCTCTAAATGTTGCTGTTAAAGTGTCTACTCTTGCAAAAATTAACATTTTCCTCTTCGATGCAGAGGGAAGTACATCTGAGCTGCTGTTGTTACTGCTAAAAAAGAAAAAAAAAAATAACCAAGTATAAAAGTTAGGCAATAAAGAATGATTCCCTCTCTTCTGCAACAATGTGAAAAAGTTATTGGAAAACAAGATCACAAGTTATAATTTCATATTGCTTATGACCTTTTGTAGTCTCTAAGTCAAACACGTACTAAACCATAGCTTTCTTGATGATGCCAAACTTCTGCGCCGGTCGTGGTGCCATCTGCAAAGCATCAACTACTCAGTGAGAAGCCAAGGCTGAAAAACACTGAGATGAGCCATAACCTACCTGATTTTCTTCATGGGAAACCCTCATCTGCTCCTTGAGGACAGACATTCGGGCTGCCTCTTCTTTCCTCAAGACTCTCTCCTTTTTGAGCTCAGGACTCCAGAAGGTCTTGATACTGTTCATGGAAGATCCTAACTTGCTGTCCTTGATGTCTAGTTCTTTCCGGAGGAGGTCATTCTCTCTCTGAAGTTCCTTGAGCTGGGCTTGAAGGTCTAACATTGTGCTATCCCTTACCTGCCTCAACATGGAAGGGACCTGGTGGTGGTGATGATGGGATGAGCTAGTCAGACCACCATGTTGATCTGTGTATGAAAGAACATCTGTGTGGGAAAGTCCAGCAGAAGCAATATTGGGACTACTCCCCATGGCTGTGACTCGGCCTCCATATACAGCTCGATTTGTGGCCCTTCCCAGAGTCATGGTGCCCTTTGGGTAAGTTGTCGAAGCCACCCCCTCATGATCACTCAGATACATAGGTCCAGATGTAGCATAGGCTGCATTAAGGGACTGGATATTCTCCATGGACAGTGTCTTGCCTGTTCCTCCACCTCCCCCACTGCTTGTTCTTCTGTGGCCCAAACGAGGAGACCTTGGCAAACGAGGAGATCTGGAAGGACTGCCTTCCAGATTGGTGATTGTTCTTGCACTTCCATACATTTTTCTTCTATTATGAGGTGCTACTGAAGAGAAAGACTGCTATACTAAGTTGGGGGTTATGCCAATATTTCCACTATTGGCCAGAATTTTCAATGCATTCTTTTCACAGTCTGTACCAGAAAATGACTCCAGAGGATCTGAAAAATGAGGGAAAAAAGATAATCAAAAACAAACTTCTTTAGAACTCTGACTATATTATATTTTTTTAAATATATTGATAGATCAACGATGATAATGACAGATACAAAAACAATAGTCACACCCATATTCGTTTTTTTAAAAAGTAGCCCCAAACTTTACTTACTACACGTAAACATTTTGTGTATTTCCCCCACCTGCTCCCAAACAAGCTCAAAAGTTCTCAGAGCAAAGAAGCAGCCCATTTTTCCTCAGGGAAAATGATGCTCTGCATTTTGGTTTGTGCTAAGTGACAGTTGGGACCTCCAGAAAATTCACCACAGAATTCCTCATCACAGAGAACTTAGCTATAAAATACTCCATCCTAGAGGCATGACCCCCATACACAAGTGGCTTGACAGAGACTCTGAGAAGTGTTTGCTTCCTGGGATGTCAAATAACGGTCAAGCATGTTGTTACTTCCCACTCCTGTACACATTCCAGACATCACTAATCCACCACAGTCCTCATTTCCACCAAGGTAGGAATTCTTCTCAACATAACACTCTAGATGGTTTACCAATAATCAACTCGCATTGACTCAGGAGTTGGAACCTACTGGCCATTCTGGAGCTAGAAGAAAAAGAGGTGGTTCGACCATCAAGACTCCTATACTTCTAGCCAGATCCTAAATGCTATTACCAGAGAAAATGGTAGTCCTGTCTTTTTCTCCCTTCACGCACTTCTTTCAGGCTGGTGTTTTGGGACTTCTTTTCCATTTTGGTTGACCTAAATATTTATTCCACACTAATCCACACCTAAAGGAGAAATGGCACAAGGGAACAGTAGACCATGTCAGAGCTCCTGGTCCCATATCCCCTGGAGAATAGTAGTAGCAGCTCCCTGTCATAGTCATTCAAGTACTTTGTTGCAGAATTTTATGTAGCTGGGTTACAGGGTTGTGATTATCCCTTCAATGTTAGGACCCAAATGGCCTTATTGTGGTGCATGATGGCCTCCTGCTCTTCCTCTGAGGATATGTTTAGTGTACTTTATTTTTCTTCACCTTTAGACACTAAGACCACAGATTTTAGAGAAGGGCAAACCAGCTTTCAAATTTCCATTCTAACACTGATTGGCTGAGTGACCTTAGGTTAGGGATGGGCATGTGACCCACATTGGCCCAAAAATATTTATACCATACTTTAGCTGGAACAATTGGGAAAGATAAGCTTTTTTTTTTTAAGATTTTTACTTATTTATTTAAGAGAGAGTACATGAGAGTGGGTAGGGTCAGAGGGAGAAGCAGACTCCCCACTGAGCAGGGAGCCCGATGCGGGACTCAATCCTGGGACTCCAAGATCATGACCTGAGCCGAAGACAGGCGCTCAACCAACTGAGCCACCCAGGTGCCCCAGATAAGCTCTTTTTCAGCTAGAATTACTTGCCTTTGAGATGGAGCTTCTGAGGACTACCATATGGAAATGGCTGCCTTGGGAGTGAAGCTAATGCAAAGGAAAGCAGAGCCAAACTTTTTTTTTTGTTAAGATTTTATTTATTTATTTGACACAGAGAGAGAGCACAAGCAAGGGGAGTGGCAGGCAGAGGGAGAAGGAGAAGCAGACTCCCCCCCGCTGAGCAGGGAGACTGATGCAGGGCTCCATCCCAGGACTCTGTGATAATGACCTGAGCTGAAGGCAGACGCTTAACCGACAGAGCCACCCAGGCGCCCCAGAGCCAAACTTTAGATAGTATGAAATCAAAACAAGTGACATCACTTGATACCCTGGATTCAGCAGTCATTGAAGGTACATCTACCCCAGGCCAGTTTAGTTACACATGCCAGGTAGACTGACTGAGTTAATGGCTCCAATTCTTTACTCCTTCCTGCATCTATATCCTTGGCAGTGCCCTCCCAATCTGACTCTGAGTTCACTCATATGATTTGTTCTGGCCAATAAGGTGGTAGCATATGGGAAGGCAGCAGAGGCCTGAAGTAGCACTTGTGTTATCTACTTTCTTGCTCTTTTTCCTCTGCAATAGTAATTAGAATATGCCCAGTCTAGCTTGCTGTTAGAGGAGATATATGAAATAGAGTCAAGGTGTCCTAGTCAACAGCCAACCAACCGCAAGCCCAGTCAAGATCAGCAAAGCTGCCTAGACAACCAGCAGGTGACCACAGATGCATGAGCGAGTCCAGCTGACATCCGATGAGCCCCATACACTAGTGGACTAAACAAATACTTCTTACTATGTCACTAATGTTTTGCAGCTGGATGTTCTGCAGTGTTGCTGCAGCAACAGACAATGGATATATTCGCTCATAAGTTTTTTCATTACATTCAATTCTAGTTGGGGTATCTGTGATTTATACCCTAAAGAGTCCTCATATACAGTGTGAAGAAATATTTTCCATAAAAGCTCCTCCTTTCCCTAAAAAGTCCCAACAAAGAATTATACTCCTGTTTCTAACTAAGGAACTTAGTTTCAAATGTTTATGTTGCTCAGAGCTTCATTTTATTTTACTTGAAAATATACAAAAATCATTTTGTATCTAAGATTTTTGCATGATAATCTGTTCTCTAGAAAAGGCAAATCAACAGTTCCAACAATAGGATTCAGTTACATAAATGATGAGAGAGACAGACAGGACAGTAGATAGAATAATGTGACTGTAACATGAATAGTTAATGAGGTGGAAAGATATTCATGACACACCAGTCAGGGCAGGGATGGGGGAACAGACTACAAAACATTTTTATGGCTTACATTATAAAACACACATACATACACACTAACTTACAGAGAAGACTGGGACAACACACATCAAAATGTTAACAGTGGTGGGATTCCAAGTGGTTTTCATTTTCTTTTGTTTATTTGTATGTGTGAAAATTTCTATAATAAAGATCTTTTATATTGTCTTTTTAGTCTCTTTCATTTATTTCTGCTCTGAAATTTATTTCTGATCTTTGTTATTTTCTTCCTTGTACTAACTTTGGGCTTAATTTATTCTTCTTTCTCTAGTTCCTCAAGGTGTAAAGTAGGTTGTTTATGTGAGATCTTTCTTTTTTTCTTAATATAGATGCTCATTGCTATGAACTTAAGAAGATATATTTTTCCCTTCTATAATTCCAACAGCTAAATGAATTTGTTATTTTTTCTATGCTTAGAATCTAGGAATTTAGGTTCCGGCTGAGCCAACACTATTAGAGTTGTCTTCCTGGAACTGATGAAATCTAACTTGTCCTTCCCTGTCTTCTCTTGTATCTAGAGGCAGACATTTCTGAGGTCTCTAGCTAGGTTGGAAGTCCAGTCCAAATCTGATAAAATGTATACCCACACAGATTTCATCTTGGGTGATTTTACCAGCCTAGCTGGCCCAGGTGCTGGAAAATTGCAATAACCAACAAAAAGTGGATCTGATCATTTTGGAAACACACACACACAACACAGAGATAACATACTATATACAGAGATATAGTAACTTATTTGAAACAATGTTTCCTTATTTAAAGAGCAATACATGTTGACAATGGCTTCCAGTTTCCTTGGGGTCTCTTTTTAGGTGTAGTATCAGGTTTATGTTAGTGTCATGGAATGGACTGAGAAACTTCATATTTTTCACATGTTCTGGAACAGTTAGCATAATAAGCAACTTCTCTATCCCTGAAACATTTAGAAGAACACAACCATAAACTAAATGGGCTTGGTTGTTGGTTACTTTTTTATTTTTCACTATGTTTAGTGATCTGTTAAGGCTTGTTACCTATTTTGTATCAATGATCATTAAAATGTTTCTTTTTTTCTTTTTTTTTCTTTTTAAAGATTTTATTTATTTGACAGAGAGAGACACAGCAAGAGAGGGAACACAAGCAGGGGGAGTGAGAGAGGAAGAAGCAGGCCTCCCACTGAGCAGGGAGCCCGATGCGGGGCTCAATCCCAGGACCCTGGGATCATGACCTGAGCTGAAGGCAGATGCTTAACGACTGAGCCACCTGGGCGCCCCCATTAAAGTGTTTCTGAAGCAACAGTCCATTCCATCCAGATTTTTCAGCCTTACTGGTATTGCTTTAACTTTTCCTTAAAATTTTAAAAATCTCCAGTTATGTCCCTATTTCATTCCTAATGTTGTTTGTATTTTTCTGTTTCTCTTGATGACTGTATGACAAATGTTGGTCTGCTTTTTTAGTGTCTTAAAGTTACAGTTTTTGTTTTATTGATACATTTTACTACATTCTATCCTCCATTTCATCAGTATCTCTTTATCCTTAATAATAATCTCTACTTTCTTTGTGTTTACTTTGTCTTTTTGTATTAAATATTCATTTACCAGGCGCCTGGGTGGCTCAGTTGGTTAAGCGACTGCCTTCAGCTCAGGTCATGATCCTGGAGTCCTGGGATCGAGTCCCACATCAGGCTCCTTGCTCGGTGGGGAGTCTGCTTCTCCCTCTGCCCTTCCCCCCTCTCATGCTCTCTCTCTCTAATAAATAAATAAATAAATCTTAAAAAAAAATATTCATTTACCTTCAAATCATATTTTCTGATGAAGGTATGTAAGATCATACACATTGGCTGCGTATTCCAGGATTTTATGTATAGAACTCTTGTCATCTGTAAATAGCTTGCTATTTTTCTTTTGAATTTTTTTTCTATGCCAGGGATTATTCAGAAAGATATATTTAAATGTCAAAGTGGTTATAAGTTTTTGGCTAATTGGTTCTAATTTTGGCTAGTCATTCTAATTCTTGGCATTGGGATCATGGAATATAACATATATGTTTCTAATCTTTGAAATTTGTCAGACTTTCTAACTGGCCCAAGAAATTATCAGTTTCCTTAATTGTGAAAACAACTGATGGATGATTATAGAAAATTTTTAAAATGTAGATATGCAAACAGAAGAAAATGAAAACACTCCCAAATCCTGGCACCGATAGGCAATATCTGTTAATAAGTTGATGTTGTTGCTTCCAATTTCTTTTAAGTGTGTAATTTTAGACAAAATTAGTTATTAAAA